GGGGAGAAGACCAGGGAATAACAGTGCCCATGTAGCTCTGCCTTCTAGTAGAATAGGATGACTACTTCCTCCACTCTACTGCAACCTTCCCCAGATGACATCTTACCTTACTTATGTTGTGCCTCTCCCTCATTTTACTCTTCTGCTAAATCTGCCACCACAATAAGGTCTGAGACCTCATCATCACCCCCTCCCCTTCATTACTGAAGCCAGCATGAGAATAGGCTTCAACGTCAGGAACATCTGTGCCAATCAGTTATCTCTGCCTTTTGCCAAGTGGCTGGTACTGTGCTCTAATAGCTCAACCAACTCCTCCATTCCAGTTGGTGGGGCAACAGCAGTAGTAGATGTTGATGAGGAGGCAGGTGATGAAGGTTTTGTAAACCACTCCACCACCTCCTCTGTGTGCTTTTGGTGTGTAGCACGGCCACTGCCAGGAAAGAAATGCACACATGCATTGCGTTGACCTTTAGGACTACAAATTTATGGTTAGGGAAAGGTTCAGTTAAGGATCAGGCTTGGTTTAAGTTTCATGTTTACATTTAAGGCTTAGTTTTTGTTCAGGAATTATATATTAACTGCTTCCCGACCACCCTATAGCAGAAATACTGCTACAGGGTGGCACGGCTATGCAAAATCATGCGGCCGCGGCTGTCAATCCTAGCCAGTGATTATACGCTGGTGTCCGGTGATTGCCGAGCATCTCCGACGGGGAGGAAAATTGTTTGTAAACAAAACAGTTCTCCTCCCTGTCAGCTCGTACACACTGCTTTGAATGGCTGTGCAGAGCACAGCCATCCAAAGCAGTGTGTTCACAGTGAAGCACAAGGACACAGCACTTAGTAAAACAGCACACAGTTGACCCTTTGATCATCCCTCATGTTAACCCCCTCCCTGCTCAGTGCCATTAGTACAGTACAGTGTCTCTCCTAGCAAAATTACCTCTTCCCCTTCCTGCTAGCAAATATTTCTTATGCACATGCCTGACCCACTCCCAACAGGTGAAGAATGGAGAGAAAAGAACTGAGTGCTGAGAAAATATTGCTCCTGCTAGCAAATATCATCCACATGCCTGGCCAACTCCCAGCAACTGTAGAATGCACAGAGTAGAGCTGGGTGCAGAGAAAATGTAGCTTCCACGCACATGTGAATAGGTTACATCAATTGTTGCCCAAAAACCAAATTAAAGAGAGACCAAACAAGAAGAAGACAAAAAACAGGATGGAAGTGGTCTTGACTGTCTTGACTGAGTCTTGACTGAGAGACAAGAGGGATCATGAACCTCAAATTGCTGCAGGGGGCCAAACTAGGAGCTAATAATATGCAAGTATGCTGTATTGCACGTTTTATGGCAAATTCTCCAGTAACCGCTGCTGCCTTAGCGTTGCTTTAAATACATTTTCTGTTCTAAATAAGTTTGTTAGTAATTATGTCTTAAACCACTGAGCTCAAAGCTACCACAATTTTATTTTGCAAAAATTCTTCTGAGATTGTCTCATGAGTGATGTTGGATTAGGATAAATTGTTCACTTAGAGCTCGTTCACTCCATGGTGCAGAGACATCAGTTTTTCTGCATGCATTCTGCAAGGGCACAACAAAATCAATTGTTCTCTATGTGCTCTTTTTACACCATAACACTAGTATCATGTGTATTATTTTTCTGTGCAGGAATTTGAAAGTGTAAAAAACTCATTGAAGCATGCATGAAAACTGATGTCTCTGCAAGTGAAATCTGTGAAATCTGTGCGTCAGTTTCTATCAGTTTTTCTGCATAAATGGTGTGAATGAAGCCTTACTTTTCTCTATAGAAAAGTGAACAATATTTGTCCACTCCAAAAACAGTCAAAGCTATGAGTAAATGAGAAGCGGCATCAGCCTGGCTCCTCCCAGGCCATATCCCTCTAACATCTTTGACTTCTATGACTAAGCCCCATGGGTGGAGCAAAATGCATGAATGAGGCATGGCTTGGGAGGAGCCAGGCTGAAGCCACACTTTTGTTTACTTATAGTTTTGACTGTCTTTGGTGGGCGGTGTCCCATTCTTTATTGCTATATACTTCAAAGAACTCTAGGATGATCTGTTCAGATGCCAGCACCCACTAGCAGTGGGAGTCACTGGTTGGGCTTGGATTGGCTTAGAGTGGTGCTTCAAGAAGGTCAAAATATTTGCCCACTCACACTGGTAACAAAAGTATCTTTGTAAGGGATACATTTGCCAATGTTATTGCCTTCTAGGGGAACCCTAAATGGTCTGATCTTTTTGCCTGGTCACTGAAAGTGATGTTCAAATCAGAGTGCATTTCTTGCAAGGAGTCAAATATGGCCTTTAGTCTCGTAGCCGAATTAAACATTTCATTATCAAACTTTCCCCAGGAACTAAAAATACTAAATTGATATTTTTCCAATTCTGCATATGCTGATTTAAAATGCAATTTAAAATAAAAAATGACATCCCATTATAAATGACTGGCTGTATTTTTCTCCATCTCATCATTGCAGTGTTGAAAAACACAATGAAACTAATTTAAAAGTATAAATGTATTTCACTGAATACAATGGGCCTCACACAAGTGAGAAAAAAAAAAGTGGAGGCATTGCCTACAGCATCCAATGAGATATTTTGTTATTTTTCTTGTTCAGGCTAGAAGGTAAAAGAGACAATTCTGATTGGTTGCTATGAGCTACACCTCAAATTTTCTATTAATTCTAATTGATATACACAGCCTAAAATCAGAAAGATACACTTGGTATTTAAAGCAAAACTTCAGTCAAAAATAACAAGATGAAAATGAATAGCTCATTAAAAGTTAACAATAACAAAATCAGTGTCTGCTGCAATATTCACCTCAGATCTAGAGATTTTCTCCACAGTATGCTGTCTGATGGTCAGCATCCTTGTACCTACTTCCCTGAGCCCAGATTGTTCTGGATCTATCCTTGCTTGTGAATGGCGAAGCAGCACAATGATATGCTCATCTCTCAGGTACTCTGCTTTCTATTCCTATCAGTTTGCTTCTTGGCAGCACATAACTGATTGGCACCTTGTACTGCTTCTTCCACTTACACTTCAGCCCTGCTTTTCAGGAACTGCAAGAGACTAACAAGTCAAACACATTTTTATAAAATCATGCAATATTAATGGATGAATTTATTTGGGTCTTTGTTTGCACCTGGAGTTTATCTATTTCAAAAACCAGCTATCATATGCAGTTATTTCTTTACAACAATGTAGCATACGATACATACAGTAATAATATCCCTGTTTTAATACATTTGCCTTTGATATGGACCCATTTACACCTCTGCACTTTAGATGTGGTTTAAAATCCGCATTTAAATGCACATAGAAGTATAAACATGACCCTTTTACTATACGCTAAGATGTGTGTTTCCATATGCATAATGATCTGTTTACAATTTTTCACGAAGGACAGTACAAAGAAACAAAAATGAGGTTGCACTCCTATGATGAGTTGCATATGGATATATCCGCAGCTTTTGTTTACACAAATCTTTAGCATAATGTGAGAGTCTCTTTTTATCACAAGCAGAATAATCATGGAGGTGCCATCCTATACAATATAATAATTAAAAATGGATACATCTGAACCAAACACCACAACTAAAACAGAAACCATCAATGACAACTACATCATTTGGAAACTTTCCTTTTTTAAAACATGGGAAAATGCAGACATCAACTAAATTTAAAACATTTTAGAAAGTTTCTTAAACTGAGAACGGAAATTATAGTCCTATGAATGTGATTTATGCATCCCTATGTACAGTAGTACTCACTCCCATAGAAGCCCACTGTTTAGGTTCCTTGGCTCTTTCCCAGTAGTTGCACCTGCAGCCAGGCACACAGTCACAGTCACTCTCTTGGTTCAGTAATCAGTCTATGGGTATGTTTTTCTGATGCTTTATTACAAAAATGTAAACTTGGGTAGGTATATGGTAACTGTGGGGCACTGATCTTCCTCCTAAGAATCACAGCACAGTCCTTGCTTGCAGCTAATATTGGACTGAGCTACACCAGGACACTGTAGGTAATGTCCCCTTTGAGTAATGCTGACACTAGTACAAGAGAGATAGTAGCAGAACACAGTCACTGGGATCTCTCACACGATCTGCACTCACTAATGTCCTTAGATAATTGAATGACTCCTTCTAATATCTTCCAGACACCTTTCTTGTGAATTCCTAAGACCAAATCCCCAGAAGAAAGTGCCTCAGTCAGCTTCAGCAAATTTCATTAAAACAGCCTCCCCCCGCCACCCAGCTAGTATAGCTGGGACGTGAATGAACAGCAGACACATGGCAGGCCTGCCCAGAAAGGCAGCAGCCCTCCAGGCTGGGATCTCCTCCTCCAGGACAAGACCCCTCTGCTCCAAGTCTCAGAGTTTTTATGCTCCCTCCCCACCAACATCTGGACACCTCTCCCCAAGGGTTGGCTAGGGCTGCATAAATATTCAGCTGCTGATTTGACTCTTCCAGCCCACTCCCAGAACCCTCCAGACAGGCTGGGGGAAACAGCCAACCCTGCAGCCAGTGAAACACAGAAGAAACCAAAATAATCACATGAAGCTCAACTTTTTACAGTGAGACTTTAACTAAATATATCTAACCTGGAACCTATATAAGCACGTGCTACACCTACAGTTGTGTTCAAAATAATAGCAGTGTGTTGAAAAAAGTGAATAAAGCTCAAAATCTTTCAAATAGCTTTTATTTCCATACACACAAATGCATTGCGAACACTACACATTCTATTTCAAATCAAAACATGAAGAAAAATATATCAAATTTGTGTTGTTCCTCTAAAAAAATTGAAGAAAAGTGAATATTAGACTGTTCAAAAAAATAGCAGTGTTTGTATTCTTCTTTACAAACTCAAACATTCACTATATAAACTGAAAAATGTTTGAAGATTTTGCTTTCCTTTGAATCACTTAATTAATATTTAGCTGTATAACCACCAGGGGCGGACTGACAACTCATGGGGCCCCCGGGCAATAGGGGATCATGGGGCCCCTGTGTCCTTGCCCAAACTCAAAAAAGCCTATGAAAAAGGTTCCAGGGGCATCTCATGGGGCCCCCTACTGACCCCGGGCCCTCGGGCAGTGCCCGAGTTTCCAAATGGTCAGACCGCCCCTGATAACCACTGTTTCTGAGAACTGCTGTACATCTGTGTTGCATGGAGCCAACCAACTTCTGGCACCAGTGAACAGGTATTCCAGCCCAGTATGATTGGACTACATTCCACAGTTCTTCTCTATTTCTTGGTTTTGCCTCAGAAACTGCATTTTTGATGTCACGCCATACGTTTTCTATTGCATTAAGATCCGGGGATTGGGCTGGCCACTCCATAACGTCAATCTTGTTGGTCTGGAACCAAGATGTTGCACGTTTACTGGTGTGTTTGGGGTCGTTGTCTTGTTGGAACACCCATTTCAAGGGCATTTCCTCTTCAGCATAAGGCAGCATGACCTCTTCAAGTATTCTGATGTATTCAAACTGATCCATGATCCCTGGTATGCGATAAATAGGTCCAACACTGTAGTATGAGAAACATCCCCATATCATGATGCTTGCACAACCATGCTTCACTGTCTTCACAATGTACTGTGGCTTGAATTCAGTGTTTGGGGGTCGTCTGACAAACTGTCTCCGGCCGCTAGACCCAAAAAGAGCAATCTTACTTTCATCAGTCCACAAAATGTTGCGCCATTTCTCTTTAGGCCAGTCAATGTGCTCTTTGGCAAATTGTAACCTCTTCAGCACATGTCTTTTTTTCAACAGTGGGACTTTGCGGGGGGCTTCTTGCAGATAGCTTGGCTTCACATAGGCGTCTTCTAATTGTAACAGTACTCACAGGTAACTTTAGACCTTCTTTGATCTTCCTGGAGCTGGTTGTTGGCTGAGTCCTTGCCATTTTGGCTATGCTTCTATCCATTTGAATGGTAGTTTTTCGCTTTCTTCCACGTCTTTTAGGTTTTGGCTGCCATTTTAAAGCATTTGCGATCATTTTAGCTGAGCAGTCTATCATTTTCTGCACTTCTTTATATGTTTTCCCCTCTCCAATCAACTTTTTATTCAAGGTACGTTGTTCTTCTGAACAATGTCTGGAATGACCCATTTTCCTCAGAATTTCAAAGAGAGATGCACTGTAACCAGCATGTACAACATTTGCTGCCTTCCTTCCTTAAATAAGGGCAATAATTGCCACCTATTTTTCAAAGAATGAATGACCTCACTAATAGAACTCCACACTGCTATTATTTTGAACATGCCCCTTTCAATTAGTGATTCAATTACACAGAATCAGCAGCATGCATGTCATGACTGTTGGGTCTGTTGGATTTCTATTACTCTACTACACCTGCTAGTAAATTATTTGCCATGTAGAAATATTATTTCTACCAAAAACAGTGATTGATCAGGTTAGTGATGTCTGACTGCTATTATTTTGAACACAACTGTATATGCAACCTATAAGTAATTATATTAACACAATTGTACACTTGCCGACAGCAGATAGTCGAAAATGAAGGCTCCACCAGTTCTGGGAGGGCATCATATGAAGCCCTCCCAGAATGTGCCCTCCCGTGTGCCACGGGGGGCGCACACCCAGCGATCTCCATGATTGCTGTGAGCTATGGACACAGCTGATCACGTGATGTGGTACAAGGCCAATCACAGCAGCCTTTTACCACATGATCAGCTGTGTCCAATGACATAGCAGATCACCGGTAAATGCAGTTGCTGTCACAGCGTGAGGAAAGTACTGCCGATAACTGGCAATTGTCAGAGGAAGGATCGGCACCGATCATAAGGGCACTGATGATCAGTGCCCTGATGATCAGTGCCCAGCAGTGTCACCCACTAGTGCCGCCATCAAGTGCCCAGCAGTGCCACCCACCTGTGCCCATCAGTGCCTAGCAGTGCCACTCACCTGTGCCCATCAGTGCCACCCACCTGTGCCCATCAGTGCCACCCACCAGTGCCCAGCAGTGTCACCCATCAGTGCTGCCCAGCAGTGCCACCCCATCAGTGCCCAGCAGTGCCCAGCAGTGCCGCAGTGCCAGTGCCCCAGCCATGCTGCCAGTCAGTGCCATCAGTCAGTGCCACCCATCAGTGCTGCCCATTAGTGCCGCCTATCAGTGTCCATCATTTTTGTATGTCAGTGCAGCATCATCAGTGCCATCTCATCAGTGCCAGCTCATCAGTGGCACCTATCAGTGCCACCCATTAGTGCTGCCTATCAGTGCTGCCTATCCGTGTCACCTCATCAGTGCCGCCTATCAGTGCCCATCAGCGCTGCTCATCAGTGCTGCCTATCAGTGCAGCCTCCATCAACACACATCAGTGAAGGAGAAAAATTAATTGTTTGCAAAATTTATAATAGAAACAAAGAAAAACCTTTTTTTAATCTAAATTTTTGCTCTCTTTTTGTTATTAGCACAAAAAAAAACCACCCAGTGGCGAGTAAATACCACCAAATGAAAGCTCTCTTTGTGTGAAAAAAATTATAAAAATTTCATATGGGTACAATGTTGCATGACTGCGCAAATTTCATTCAAAGTGTGACAGCACTGAAAGCTGAAAATTGGCCTGGGCACAAAGGAGGTATAAGTGCCTGGTAGGTAAGTGGTTAAAGTGGATGTAATGGCAGCATATTTTTTTTACATTTTGGATAAAGTAGAGAAGAGTTACTGTCAAGTGTTTATTGCTATGTAACAAAAATGGAAAATGAAGAACCACCCATTGCTAAGAGGTTCAGATACCATATTATATCAATAAAAGTCAGGGGGACAATCCAAAGGGTAATCAATGCACTTGGGGATCCATAAATGTCCCCTTCATCAGGACTTAATTGAACACAATGTGAATGAACTAGAAACACTTTTTTTACGGTGTGATTACAAGCACAGGCCTTGTAAGCAGCTGTTGTGATGCTTCAATTTCTGCTGATGACCAAACAGAAAATGGTGTGAAGAAAAGGTTAGCATGTGATGCTGGAGTGGGGGCAACCTACTCTACAGGACCAAAGCATGAATTGCTCATGCAATTCATAATGCATAAGCATATGTCATTTTCCATGAAACATCATGTCAAAATAAGGGTGGTTAAAATGTATATGCAAATCCCTCCCTGCAATCCTCTCTATTGCTCAACCTAGTGATGGGCAGCATCACTGAACATAAAGGAGTCTTTGGAGTTGACATGGACCAGATGATGCTCAAATTGCACTGCAAAGTGCATAAAACTTCAGAAACTGGTGCTGCTATAAATTATTTCGAAATATCATTTTTGTTGAAGAAAATCCTTGCTTTTGCATTTTTATTATGTACTCAGTCCAGGCTTCTGGCAGGTTCATTTAAACCCACAGACATTAGAGTGTGGTCAGATGTCCACCAACAAGATATTACTTGTGAAAGATCTTTCCATTAATGTGCATAGTCAGCCTGAGCCTGTGAGTCACAAAGAACAGTATGAGTCAGATCGCCCGAGCCTGTGAGTCATGAGGAATAGTATGAGGAGAGTCCATTTCTTGGAAAAATACAAAAGCAATCAGCCACGAAATGCCATCTCCAGCCCAAAAGTTTTGTGTAGACACAACACTTTTTACTAGTGATTTGCATGTGCTGCAATCTACTGAATTAATGTCATTGAATTTGAAAAATGCCAAAACTGTGGGCAATCACTTGGCTCCAGGAGGGGAATTAAAATACGCAGTACATTCAGTAGCATATCATAATCACAGCAGAATAATCTAAAATGAATTGATTTAAAGACCTCATACAAATACAAACAACTTAACGTAAAACCAAAAATTAATCAATTGATCAATCATTATATTAAAGTGGAAATGCAGCCAAGTGCATAACTGAACCTTTTTTTATTTTACATTGGGATAGAACAGGGAAGGATTAGAACCCTTGTCAAGTTTTTATTGTTGCCTGTGTTGTATCCTCACTGGGAGATTCACTAAGGATGTAGCGCACTTATGTGTAGGTGATAAGGTTTGCACAATATTGCATGACAGATCCCCCAATGGTGAAAGAACCATCCCATAAATGTGCCAGTGCACTCTAATAAGCTATAAACATTTAATAAGTAATATAACTGTAGCTCATCTGCATTTTCTGTGTTATGTTGCTTAAAATTTGCTCATTTTAGGTTGCCCATTCTGGTATTTTTTTCCATGACTGGAGTTGCCATAAACTTCAACTTTTAGAAATTCTCTCTCATTGGTTAAAGAAAGCGCACTCCTGATTGGTGTCATTAGTCAAGTGACTCTTCCCTGTCTTGTGACTGTTGTTTGAACAGATTAGCCACTCCATTTGATTCACCTGTGTTCTATTAATCCTAACCAAAAATCAATAGAATTGGATCAGTCATGTCTGGTTATTGGTATCATATTATTCTGGGTGCTACATGTGATGGTTACATATACGTAATGCCAGAAATGTCTTATATATCATTGCAAATGTGTTAGGTACACACTATCGAGCAGCACAACCTCATGATTAATGTAGTTTACAATGCGGAACATTATCTTTTATTTGTATTTTCTTTCAGTTAAAGGATGTTTGTCTGTGTGTGTGTGTGTTTTGTATTTCTTTCTTTTGGGATGTTGCACAGGTCTGTTGGCTTTCTTACTCCAAAGTAGTATTCCACAATCTGCATCTTTCTCCTCCACAAACCTCCACATCCTTTTTGGTGAATGTGATGTGGTGATGAGTCTCCTCAAAATGGAGACATGATGGTACCGCCCAGAGACAGGGGTGGGCCAGCATATTACCACAGCGCTGAGTCCATGGCTAAAATGGCGAACCGAAAAAACATTGGACACCAGTCACTTTATGTCTTTTAAGTTTTATTGGTCATCACACAAGGAGGAAAGGATTAGGGGTTCCGAATACCAGAGCAAAACATTCACAGACTATTCCAGATCCATGTCCAGCTTCACACTGTCAGAACCTTGCCGACCTAGCAACACTGTAGGTAGCATCTTAGCTGATTCATATTTTAAAATAATGGTGTAGCGCTGTAAGTGCTAAAATCAAACATTGTAAAATCACATTAATATAAATAAATACCTTCACGCTGAAAATAATAATAAAACCTTGTGTGTCCTCATTAACTTAATTATAAAGTGAAATATAATCCAAGGATAATATGCCACCAAAGTGACCAAGTATTATACCGTGACATAAATACAATGATAAAAAAGTCCCAAGAAGCAAAAAAAAATGATTGCACAAGAAGAAATTGAAATAAAATATAAATAAAAATAAATTCAGAATTTTCTATTCTTCAACTTTATATTCCCACTTTATGTTGCGTGCTCATACATATGATGCCAATTTATCCATCACCTTCTGGTGTGTGCGCTCACCTCACAGATTTGACCCTCAAGGAATCATAAAGCAATCAATCCCCGGATGATCCCTGGATGGATCTCTCCCTTTAAATGGACACAGGAACAGCTCCCACCAAAATCATTTAAATGATCAAACACATCTTTAAGGGGTCTTCAAATGGCTCAAAAAGAAGTCAAAGATAGAACTTCCATAGTGTAGTATTTAGATATTTATTAAAATAGATTCAAAAAAGCCAAACGGCTACTCACATAAAAACAAGGGTCACAGACCCATTAAGCATATACTGTGTAACCCACAGTCAGGTGTACATACGAGGAGTCCCAAGATGGAGACTGACATCCAAATGTAATGACGCCACCATGCTCTATTCCCACACATTACGTCATGCTACCACGTGACTTCTTCGGGGCAGGATTAGACTTGTAGTTCCTCTACAACATGTAAGGAACAGTATTCACATGTTTTTTGTGGACTCCAGTATAATGGCCACCGAGATTCCAGTTAAAAGGCCATAGATACCCATATTATTAATAGCTGCTGTAAAAGTTCATATCAAGATCAGCAAGGTTTAATTAACTGTTAAGATCCACAATAAATCCTCTTTACTTTGTTCTAATTTGAGGGCTTGATATAAGATGTTATTCCTCTATAACATCAGAGGAATAGAGCCCTGTGTGTCCTCTAGTATATACTTCAACAAAATGGCTGCTGTGAGTCCACCTTTCCCCCATTTGATTAACAAATTGTTCTCCTATAAATTGCAGTAGTAGTCACCAATCACGTTACCCTGATGAAGTCACAAGTTAGTGTGACGTAACGCGTGGGACGCAGTGACGCAATTTCCGGACATGGTGCCGTAATTTCCGGCACGGACGCCATCTTGGTACTCCAATAGACACCAATTCAAAGTATACCCACATCATGTGGTTTCAAATAAAGCTTGTTTAAAGATATGTACATGTGAGTGGGCACTTGTATTATTTTAATACTTCTAATTAAAATGTTATTACACTATGGGAGCATCTTCCTTTTTATCTTCTCTGGCTGTATGAGGATTGGCTGATCCTGGGATATTTCTGAGGAGGCTGTCTGCAGTGCCGTTGTCCATTAGTGAGGGGGATTGATCCATCGTTGGACCCTATACCTTCAGGAGGGGGTCCACGTTCCCGGCTGGTGTGGTATTGCTTGAATAAGCACTTTGACCCTGTGGGATCATTTCTTGGAGGCGAGGGGGCATTTCACCCATTGTTGGATCTCCTATGTATAATCTTTCATATACCAACATTTATTAAGGACTAAAGAACACCTCCACCATTTTAGGTGGTTTTGGACTTTCTAGTTTTGTTGAATCGTTTTAATTTGATTAGACTCACTTATATGTTGGATGATTTATATATATATGGTTCTGAACTTTTTTTTGATCTATTACTTTATGTGTCACGGATTCACGTTTATGCGACTTATTCCATTATTTATCCCCTAGTTCTGGGGTGACGAATAAATAGTTCACTCTTATTTATATTCTTTACATTTCTTTACATTTATAGGCTTTGCGGCTTATAAATTCTCCACCATATACAGTATTGTATTAGTGTCACAAATTTTTTCACTTTATCCCCAATTAGGGGTCACTGTTATATGGTTCACCTTAATCATAACAGTTTTTATTTCTGTTTGAGTTTTGGCTGATTCTATTTTCAGCAACTGTGTTGCGTTAGATAAGCTTTGTGGTTTTCACCATTAACCTCTTTTTTAATAGTTTCCTTTTTCCCTATGTGCACTATATGTGTTTTTTTCTGTTAGGTTTATAGCCACTACCAGTTGGCATGCAGTATACCTGAAGTTATATTTTAGTGCATATTTAGCACTAGAGGTGGGATCCTATTTGTGGCATTATAACCATTTATGTTGGCACCATTTATGGTTAATAAGGATTGTCACCTATAGTCACCTATTTATGGTGTACCTAGGTTACACCTTAGATTTATAACTTTAAGGGCATTTCACTGTTATCCATGATTTTGGATTTTTCATGTGCATTCTATTCTATATTAATTTTCTGAAAATTCTATTTTATATGTTCTTTTTGTGAAGTTTTTTGTGTTTTTTTTTGGTTTTATGATTGCTTGATTGTAGATTGTGATTTGAAAAGAAGTAGAATCAGACTTCAGAGTACATTGTAATGCTTGGCAGTAGTATGTCCATTTCTAAGGCAATGCCAAAGCATGTTATTGAAAGGATTGCATTTGAAAAATGTACCTGTACTTTTTTTTTTGTTTTTCTTTGGTCTAGTGGCTTAAGCTTAAAAACTCCTTTATTTATGTATCTATTTTACTGCTGTACAGGTCTCCATTAGTGATATTTCGCCTCACTTCCTGTACTAGTGACACATTTCATCAAAACAGTGAGGGGAACCCTCAAACGCCATCACAGTACTAAAGCACCACATCACAATAGTCAAATTGCCCAAAACCAGGGGCGGACTGACAACACATGGGGCCCCCAGGCAATAGGGGATCATGGGGCCCCTGTGTCCTTGCCCAAACTCAAAAAAGCCTATGAAAAAGGTACCAGGGGCATCTCATGGGGCCCCCTACTGACCCCGGGCCCTCGGGCAGTTTCCAAATGGTCTGTCCGCACCTGCCCAAAACATAAACAATTGTTTCAAAAGGGAATTTTAGGAAACTTTAAAGTGACTGTAAAGGTTCTGGTTTCTATAACATACATGTTATACTTACCTGCTCTGTGCAATGGTTTTGCAGACCCAATCCTCCTTTTTTGGGGTCTCCCACTGGCACTGTCTGCTCCTCCTCCTGTCTGCCCCCATATCAAGCAGTTGCTACAGGGGCAGATGTGTGGGCTCACTACAGAGCCAGTTCTGTGAGCTCACTGGCTTTGACTGACAGCAACAGGATCATCAGCAGGAACCAATATCTCCCACTCCTGTCTCTGAGCCTGTGAGGAGAGAAAGAGCAGAGCTGCTGTTCTTAGGCACAGCGCTGGATCAGGATTGGGCTTAGGTAAGTATTTGGGGGGGCTGGGGGTTGGGAGCTGCAAATGAAGGTTTTTTTTTTTCTTAATGCAGAGAATGCATTAAGGTAAAAAACCTTTAGCCTTTACAACCACTTTAACCTCTTCACGCCGGCCGAATGCAAATGTGCGGACTCCCGGTGTCTGGGCATAAACGCAGAGCGTTCTATTAAAAAAGGACATATGTGCCGAGAGTGCTCGCCCTCCTCTTTCGATCGGGACCTTTCCCAATCAAGTGACCCTAAACCCCGCCCATCCCGCCTCACGGCTTCTGAAACTCTTAAAGGGCCAGGAGGTGCCGGCGTGAAGGGGTTAAGAATATGTAGGACTTTTAGGACACCAAAGCAGAGATCCCTCCCTAGTTTCCCTTGTGCCCTATTGAATTTCACTTACTTTTTTTAATGGTCAAGATTTAACCAGTGATAGTCAATGAGTTGCCCGCAGTTAAGAATTCTGTCTGGGTGTCCCTTGAGAAATCAATCTACCTTTGCAAGATTAGCATCCACTTGACCTATTTCCCCGTTATTATTTAATCCCATGTGGAGACATGGTGCATTTAAAGTCTGAAACTGCATTGGGGCAGGATTGAGAGGAGACAACTTATCTTTTCCAGATCTTGATGACAACACAATCTGGCAATATTGGAGTATTCATTGATTGTGGGCTCTTTTAGTATAACCTTGGTGTCTATTCTCTCGAAGTGGATTGTTGGGGAAAATCTTGGTTCTAATGTCTGACCTCCAGAGGGGACATTGGGGCAATATAAATCCTTCTCTGATGTCATGAGGAAGCAACTTGCAAAACACACCAAGACAGAAGACTGCTCACTATATACAGTATCACCAAGTATCTAGTGAAATGTTTTGAAAGACTGGTTGTAGGAATAAGATGGATATGTGTTAAGGAGGGTGGAAATTCATACAGAAAAGAAGTGTTGTCAAATGGTCTTATGTATGTTACTGTCTACACAATATTTTTAAACGCTATTTAAGAATATTAACAAAACATAAAGTTTTATTTTTGATTCTTAAAATGTCTATATATTGCTATTCCTCTTAAATATCCCTTTTGAAACAATAGTTTCTGTTTTGGTCATTATCTACTTTATCCTATGAAAGAAAATTTTGGCAATACTTATTACAAAAACAGGCCTCGTCAGTATAATCACCCTATTGTTATGAACAAAAAACACTTCTCAGGCAATTCTTCAGTCTAGTCTATGCTCACAATGGCCTCTCTGGCTTCTGGAAGCTTTTTTGATTGTTTTCTTTCAGAGATAGAGTGGCTACGATTCTTAATCAGACAGACCATGTCTACTACATTGGCCATAGATGGAACAAAATTCAGCCGGTTTAGTAGAGACTGGTTGTATTTCAACCCATCTAAAGCCACTCCCACTCGACAGACATCCATCTAGTGATTAACTCCCAAACAGGACTGTTGCAAAACTCTTATTTGATCAGTGGCTGCAGCCAATCGGCTACAATAGCTCAGCGGAGAGGATTCCTCCATCCACCTCACTTGTGTGGATAGGGTAATCCATTTTTTTTCGATCAGTCAGGATGCCAGTAGGCTAATAAAAAAAAAAGAATCGTCTGTGGCCAGCTTTACTCTAAGGTTCCGCAGGATACAGAGACTGCATACTGTATGTAGCGAGCAAATATGACTGCTTCCATATGCATGTATAATTAGTTAACTATATATTAGTTCAACTAAGAGAGCAGCCACCAGCACAAGGAGCACTTCTCATTCATTGTAAGCAACATAACTTGTGCTAATTAAAAAAAACAAAAACTAAACTAGTTACATGGTACCTATAAAACCAAGCTGAAAATAATAAATGTCAGTCAATTTTATGCACTTAGCTTTAGGCTGCATTCACACCTGCAGTTGTTTTTACACATCCGTCAATGCATGTTTAGTTAACTATCCTATTTTTTTTTTAATAGGCCTTTAAAGTGTTACTAAACCCACAAGAGTAAAACCAGTCTGTATATGCAGTAAAGCATGCTTGTTATACTCACTGTGAAACCTAAGGGGTTAATCCTCTGCATTGTGTAAAAAGGAAATTTGATCCTAACTTCTCTGCCCCTCCTCTTGTTCAAATTATTAGTATTATAATACTGGATTTAAATAGTGCCAACAGTTTGCGCAGCGCTTTACAATATAAGGGAGACAGTACAATTACAATACATTTCAGTACAGAAGGAATAGGAGGGCCCTGCTCGTGGAGCTTACAATCTAAATGTCCACAACTTATCTCCTGATAAGACAGACTAAACCCGTAGCCCTTCTGCACATGCTCAGTTTAGTGTGTATTGCTGGAGAGGAATTATTTTTCTCGGGGGAGAATGCATGTGATCAGCACAGGGCAAATCAGCAATGTCCAGACAGAGATCAGGGGTTTTGCATATTCCTAGAGCAGAACTAAAACTCCTCCTACAAGCTTTCACCAGTGCTCTGCTGGACAGTGATAGAAGTCACAAGACTGCACTACCTGTTTGGTGAGAAAATGTATTTAGCAGTTTATATTTACTAAAATAATTGCAATTCCATGTTCTGTGTACTGTGGGAGACCAGATAGAGTAATTGCAGGGTCTTGGGTTTAGTAACACTGTAACTCATTATTGTGCACCAAAAAAATTATCTTGTCTTACTTTTTTACAAGTGTACCAGAAGGCAATGCAGCTGTTTTGAATGGCATATGTTATGGTGAGCCAAGAGTCTAGCTGTGTATGTTTTTCTTCACACATTGTTTTGTTGAGGTGCCTTTGAAAATGAATGGCAATGGACCACAAGATGCCTACACTATGTGGTTTTTGCTGAATGTTAATGAGCAGGAAAACACATGAGAATGCACATGCACAAATGTAAATGCAACCTTAGTCTATAGGAGGAAAAAGCCTAAACAATTTTTCACCACATCTGAAAAAAATCCTTCTGATTCTACAAATGACAGTTGGATCAATTACCTGGACTGAAACTGTGAATATTTCTAAGGAAAACATCCAGTCCTTTTTTAAATTCTATTATTGATTTTGCTATTGCTATAGTACATCGTGCAGTAAAACATTCTACAGCTTAATCACTCTAGCCATAAAAATCTTCTTACTACACTGATGGTAAAACAATCTTACTTTAATATACAACACATGTTCCCTTTTTTTCTTTCTACAAAGTTGATTTGCTAAATCTTTATATTGACCTTGGTTATATTTGTATTTCAATAAAGTTACCTCAGAAGTATATTCTTTAAGCATTTTTTTTTCAAACCTTTCATTATATACAAAGAACTCCTATCTCTTTTATTAATTTAGTTGTATGTCACTGAAACTCTTTTAAATCTATTTCAATTTTTACATTGTCTCATACATGTGATATTTCCTTTTTACAATGTCTCATATATGTGATTCACATAGAGGTAGTACTATTCCTTGAACACCTGTTTTACTCTTTTTATATATTCTATAATATAATTTGCATTAGTAGGTCTAGCTTGTCATTGACTGCTGATGCTCAGCTTACTATTAACTGCTCTAACTTCCCTTAATAATCTTCCCATGGACAGGGTTTATAATCCTACATTTAAAAACACTTAAAATGTATTTATATTTTTTACTTTTGGATAGAAAGGGGAAGGATTAGAACTCCAGTCACGTTTTACTGCTATCTGGAGGTTTATTGGAGAGATTCCTTCACTTCCTGTCTGGCAAAAAGGAAATCCCCGGAATAGGAAGTGAGGGGAAAACTCTCTAACAAGGACAAAAGTAAAAATGACTTTGTTTAAGCTAAGCAGGGTAATACTAGTTCCTGTCAGGTTTTTTTTTTGTCGTCTGTTTCCCTGGTGCAGATTTTCCTTCACCTCCTGTCTGGAAAAAGACTGTCTCCAGGAATGAAAGTGAAGGGAAAGCTCTATCTAACAGAGCCCCAGACAGCAATAAAACCTGACAGGGGTTCTACCCTTTACCCTTTCTATCCAAAACCTTAGAAAAAGTTTGGGGTATAGGTACAATTTTGGTTCACTAGCCATATATGTGTCTAAGTTGTTAGTATATGAAGATTTCTAGGTAATGAGTTTTATTTAGTGTCCAGAACACTTTCTGGTAGTGTTGCATAGCTAGTCAGGCCAAAAAAAGACAAAAGTCCATGCAGTTCAACCATTAAAAAAAAAAGTTATAATCCAATACCCACAGTTGATCCAGAGGAAGGCAAAAAACCCAGCAAAGCATGATCCAATTTGCTCCTGCAGGGAAAAATTACTTCCTGATCCCCCGAGAGGCAATCGGATATTCCCTGGATCAACTTTCCCTATAAATGATAGTATCCAGTTATATTCTGTGTATCTAAGAAAGAATCCAGGCCTTTTTTAAAGCAATCCTCTGAACTGGCTAGAACCAACTCTTACATCCGCATACGTCCTGTAGTTTCATCATTATGAAATAGGAAAATGGGGACAAAATACTACTGAAAAGTATCAAGATTAAGATGTTACCTTGGCCTAGATTTTTGGGGCTCCTGTCTAGCTGTGTTATTCATTTAACTTCCTTTTTGCACTTGATCCTTTATGGTCCTGACAGGTTTACTAAGATAAATAATGGGATAATATCAAGTTTAATGTAGTCTTGTGGAAATTACCAAGA